TCTCATCATCTATTTTACTTGATTTTGATTGGGAAGTGGTCGGAAACCCTTTTGGGAGTTACCACTTCCCAATACTACTCCAAACACTGTGTGAATCGCCAGCCAAGGCTTCTCGGAGTAAGCTTGACAGAGCTGACTAGGAGAAGCCGACAAAGCTGCGACTATCTCGTGGATGGACATGTCTTTAACCATAGAGTATTTTACCGGTTGTGTAATCAACGTTGCTGAAGCGACAAGTTCCCTGGCGGAACGACGAAAATTGCAGGGCTCAGAGGAAATGATATAAAACGTGGGGGCTTTTACGGGACTCCCCTAGTCATAAAGATCAATAAATTCTAAACAAACCAAATCACAAGGCCGCAAAACAGGCCGCCAGACTTGCAGGGTAATTTGGCTGAATTTTATATTATGCGTAAATTCTTAGAGAGATAATGTCGAAGTATGACATAATTTTGGCAAAGTACAAGTTCAACGAGTATACTTAAATGCCCTTCGTAGACACCTAGGGGAAATGGAAGACCAGGCAAATTCATGGGGAGCACACTTAATGAACCATATCCAGTTCTTGTTATTAATCTGAAACTTTCGACAGGTACAAAACTCTACTGGAATGATCGGCGTTGGAAAGTTAATCTACAAAACATGAAGCAAGCAATGAACCGTTCTTGTTAGCAGAGCTACAGGCAGCACTGCACTGCTGCAATAATTCTGCATCAAGTTCAGCGCGTATTGTAAACGATATGCTGAAACACTCCAAAGAACCTACAAAAAGACAGTACTGTGGCTCTACAATACCTCATGCTTTTCCGGTATCTCTACTTCCTGAAAAGAAGCTGTTGTGATACCCATTTTGAAACAGGCAAAATGATCCATCGTCTGTCCATAGGTGAAGGCCCATCGTGCGTACAATTGTCCTCTGTAACTTAGCAACGTTGCCTGTTGGGCGAGTTGTACCACATACCATCGAAATCTCGTTCCATGCATTGTGAGCGTCGTGCACGTCATTCCTCTGACGTGTGGCAGAAAGTATATGGGCCAGACGGGACGCTGTTTGTATGACAGACTTCGTGAGCACTATTAGAGCCTGTACACCACTGTATCGATACACCTTGGCATCCATGTGCGGGACTGCAAGTATAGCCCTATCTTTGAAAAAACCGTGGTCTTGGCACGCCAAAGGGTGAGGGAAATGATTTAGGCTGAAAAAATTAAACGGTCTAGGGACGCATGCGTACGCATACCTTCCTTGCACCTTTCCGATAGAGAGCTTGTGGCGAGACATGCAAAGGAGGGCGGTGTTAGCCATCGTGTGACTTCTCGGCCCTTCTTTAGTTTTCACTTCTAGATTTTTGCTCTTCCTGGTTTTAATCTTTTCTTGCTTTGCCTGTGCATATATGCGCGCGTCTCAATCTAATAGACTTAATCTGGAAGAATGCACTGTGTCCTCGTTCTCTCGCTCGTTCGGTGTCTGTTTTTTACGCTGCACTAAACTACTATTGCTTCTTCAAAGTTTTCAAAAAAAAATGATAAACGGTCAGGTAATACATTTCTCCCTAAACAAATTATAGCTCTCGTACCAGTGCGGATTTGGGAGGTTTCAAGAACTGACCAAGTAATAACACGCCTTGAGGCTGAAATAAGCGAAGCATTTGAACGTAGTTGTTTGTCTCGGTATTCTTGACAATGAAAAAGCCTTCGACCCAACATTGCGTTTTGGAATACTGAGGGACCTCTAACACTTAAGAGTGAGAGGTAGGTTATTTAACATAGCCGATAGTTGTATAGTCGCACATTTCGTGTTTCATTTGGCAAAGTTTTTGGCCTACCATGTGCTCAGGAAACTAGAGTACCACAAGATGGTACCCTCAGTTGCACCCTTTTTTATTATAAAGATGAATTCGTTATGTCTCTGCATCCCAGCTAACGTGTTATATTCCACATATATGTTGATTATGTTCAGATAGGTTTTAAGTTGTGCAAACTTGCGATGTGTCAGCGGCATGTTAAGGTCTGCCTGAACAAAGTGTCACAATGGGCCGACGAAAACGGGATCAGGTTAAGCCCAGAAAAAAGCACATGTCTTCTATTTTGAAAGAGCGAGGGCTCCACTCAAATCCCTAAAGTGACTTGAATGACCAGCTGTTACTTGTATAGAGGCGGAACGTACATTTTTAGGCCTCACTCTGGACTCACCTTTATACACACATCAATTATACAAAAAAGGTGTCTAAAATAATGACCATCCTAAAAATACTTTAACGAACAGCGTGCAAATACGTACAAAAGCCTCATACGGACACGCCTAAATTATGGGGGCGATAAGCTACCAGTCAGCGACTCCACGCGCTTTTAAAATGCTTGACCCCGTCCACCATTGGGGCATCCGTATTTTTACGGGTGCTTTTCGCACTACCTCCGTAGAAAGACTGTTCGTCGAATCGAACGAGTGGTCATTGCAGTTGCAGAGGACGTCTGCTGGCGCTGTTTGGCTATCACGTGGCCCTTGCGCCAAGAAACTACATCACGCGCATCATCACCATGACGCGTTCGCCGCAGTAGAGGCGCTTTCCGGGCAGTCTGAGATTACACCAAATGATTTCGCAGCAACGCTCGGAAGAGCGCTTCTTTTAAGTATAAAATAAACCACAAAATGGTGAATCACCGCCTTCAGTGTTCATCAAGTGATCATTCTGCGAAGCATGTGACAATCGCGGCCGGTATAAAACTCACGACCTTCAGATCAGCAACCGAACGCGATAACCGCTGCTTCACCGCGGAAGACCTGTTGACGCGCGGAACTGTGGAAATTTTCATATACATATTAAGAAATGCTTCGGACGATCGAAACCTGATGAAAGCCTCAAGAGCACAATAAGTAAAAGACAAACAGGAAAAAGCTTTGTACTACATGCGCAGGTTTTTCGGTATGAAATACACAAAACAGACTTATTTTCATGAGTGATTATAAAAAAAAAACTATATAGGTATAGTGAAAGTGACAAGAAAGTGACAAGCAGCAAAATTTCATCCAAGAACTACACCGAATTATAAGCATTAAATAGCGCACAAGCGTTTATAGATACATATATGTTCATTCTATTATATAGTGTAAAGCGTTTTAAATTTTGCACTCAAGTGATAGGGTAATCTTGACATGCTGTCAGATTAGTATAGCTTGTTCTGGCCCACGTTAGTTACCGTGTTTGAGAGCTCTTCGTACAGCTTGTTTTATATTCTAGCATAAAATTATAAATATGTGATAGGGGGTCATTGTTTTTCCGAGTGGTGGTAACTGGCTCACCCTTCGACGCAGAACAGCCAGCCTCTTCAGAGCACCCGGTAAGTCAGCTTCACCAAAACCCTTCATGTCTTCGATCTTCAAGTTACATGCACTTATAGAGACTCATCAGACTTTACTGCATGCGTTTTCGGCTCAAATAACAGGCTTCTAAGCGGGAATAAAGTTTAGGCATGAAAATAAACGCACCGTTGCAAGATAAGGATTACGGTGCATCCAAGCTTCCAAGCATGTCATGGCTGTGAACAGGCCTTCAGATCTGCCAAACGTTCATACGACAGCAGAGAAGCCAACAATTTGACCTGAGCAGACAGCAGTTAGGTCAAATACGCGGTTTTCGGCCAACACTGCATGCCTTCTACCAAAACGACGGCCATATCAACAGCTAACTTCCCCGCTTTTCTTTCAGAAATGACAAATTTGAACTACAGCTTCCTTTACAAAAGGTAATGCAGGTTAGAGCATCTTGTGTGCACATTCTGCACGCTACGAAAAGGGATGTGCGCTGACAGCTGTGAAGCACCAACAAGCTTCCTTAATTTGTTCTGCAAGGTTCCGTCAAGGGGCAATGGCGGGTGTGCTGTGTGCACCATTTCAAAAATTTTACTCCTAGGACAAACTTTTTCTTTTTAAAAAATAGACTGGCCACACTGCTCACAGAGGGTGTTCCTTAAAATTTGAAATACAAAATATTTTTGTTACGAAAAAATGCCTTAAAAACTGCAATAACTTGCACATTTGCTCTGCTTTGAAAATAAGTTGCACAAAAAACTGAGAACCGTTTCGCCCAGATATAATCGAAAATACGAATGTACTTTTTTACACACAAGTAATTGTTCGTCATGGAGATGGCATTGTGTTCAACAACAAAAAAATCTGCTTTAGAAATTACAACTGCCTCTGAAATCGCTTAGTTCATTTTTATTGATGTATTCTTCATGTGGGCATATTATGAATGATGCTGCTCTCGACATATTACATGTGTATTTGAGTCAGCCCCTTCCCCTGTCAATTTTCAAACGATGGGGGCAACTTATGAAATACATAACATAATGACCTGAAATTGTAAACATTTTTTTGTCTAATTCCTTCGGCGTTGTCTTACTGGTTCATTCGCCCTTGTGTAGATTGCGTGATTAGCTGCTGACTACATTTACATTCGTATCAATAAATTTTGATGTCAAATATGTTTTCAAATTATTTTTGTCGTTAGGTTGTGTCCTAGTCAGTTGTTTTAACTAACGTGGTAATGTATATTTCAAACTATCCTTTGTTATAGTGTTGGACTACACCAGGAGATAGCGGGTGTGGTGCCAACCGCGGCAGTCGTGCTTCAACGAACGCAAAGTGATAATCACCAGCGTGATCATTGGTGCAATATATTGAGCTCCAGATGATTTCAATATCAGGAGTAATCTAATACGGCTTGGCTTATAATAGTGTTTCAGTTTTGGCACGTAAAACTGATTATATTCTCTCTAAAGCTGGCTTTGCAAGTCAAGTGTGCACAAACTGCAATTAATTTTCCGTTCTGGCGTTTTTGGTAAGTATATTTTTTTCTGATAGGACCTACTCAAATTGCTTTTCACTTAAAGTATTAATTCTTTAAAAAATTGATCAGCAATCGGCTGTCATCGGAAGAGCTTGCCGAATCTGGTGCAGAATCGCATTCATGATTTTGATGTCTATAACCGTTTTGCAGGCTCCCGTTTTGATGCCGGTGACGTCGGTTGCATCGTCTGTTCTGGCAACCGTGTCTTCCCTATTTGGAGCCCCGATACTCCTGACGCCTACTCCACCTCCCCCTGCCGGGGCTTCCTACGGGATAGTGCCGCAGCTACAGCTGAGTATTGCCTTTGACGCACTCAGTTCTTGTTCAGCATTAAAGAATCACTATGTGACATTTGTGTGTTACTAGCCTTTAAGTTCGTGAATTTTGAATAAAAAAAGAGAAAATGATTTCACAGTTTAAGCTAAGCCTGAAAAGTGCGCACTTTTTCACGTGTAAAATAAAAAAAAAGTTATTATGCGAGCGGAGTGATGGTATCATTGATGTCAAAGCGCAAGAAGTGTCTCATTGGCGTACACCACGCCTTAGTGATGTGAAAGTTGGATTCACGTGGGAGAACTGTGCAATATTCGATATGTGTATCAATGTCACGACCACAGACAAGCAATCGGGCCTACGTCCGTCAGTAGACCTAGTGGCTGCGGTAGCATCCCGCTGGCTCCATGGACATCGAAGCTTGAGGTCAAGCGAAGCAGGCCACTCCGACTCTTGATCCTCTGCCGGGCGCTCGGAACAAACCACGACCGTGGCGCTGGTGAACTGCCTCCACCCTGCTTCCACTCGCACGAGCACCACCTTGCCAACTGCGTCGCACTTGTGTTGACTTGTCGACTTCTCGTTGGGCTTTCTGGGTTGCCGGGTCATCAATTAATTGGCCCCTCAGTCCTCCGTGGTAACAGCTGATGGGCCACATCGCTCTTCTGTTCTTGACGCATCGCCCTCGTGCCGATCATTATAGTCGTCGTCTTCACTCAGTTTCTCTTTCCCCATGCACTGCTTGTCTTTGTCATTCTTTTGCCACCCCACACACGGGGGCACTTCCAATCTTTACGCGCACATCACTCCTGGTTCTTGTCTCTTCATCAGAGCGATTGTTGTATCGCTTGAACAGAGAACAAAATAGGACCTTGATGCGGCGGTTTCGCTCTTGTATAGACTAAAATGTTTCTAGTTATCCCGTATCTGCACTTGATGTCGCACAGTTTGAAAATGGTTGCCAATAATTAAGGCATAAATGTTGTCTTTGTGCCAGGAAAAACTTAGCAAGCGTGCACGCGAGAGTTGGCAAGAGAGTGCAGCAGGAGCAGGCCGCTGTAAGCACTGAAGTATTTCTATAATGCACTCCTGACTGTGCGAGTGGTGCACTTTATCTTTTTTCTTGCTGTGGTGCGTACATTGGAAACACGAGACGTTGTCTGAACTTCCGTCCAAGGGAGCACACTAGCTCTCTCAAAAAGGGTCACCATCTACGCATATTCCCCTCATTTGCCGGCAATCTGGTTGCACAGCCGAGCTAAACAAAACCGCTGGGGTGATGAGCACGGACCGGCACATGCGTCATATCACCGAAGCGTTTGAAATCACAACAGCAAGTGACAGGTGCGGGAGCCAGCCTTCAATCGCTCTCAAATGCTCACATTTCACGTCTACAGCATACGTGAATATAAGCTTGGTGGGGATTGATAACATCTTCAGTGCCTTACTCTATGCTTATGCATACCACTTTTCTTTCATTAAACTTTCAATTGATAGACAGCGCTTGTGTCCTGCACTGTCTAGTGTTTCCTGTTCTTTTTTTTGTGTGTGTGTGCTGATGGTGATGAGACCTTTAAGTACTTGTTCTGAAAGAACTACGACGGCAATAAGCTTTCATTTGGTGATCTTACTGAAGTATCGCAGAAACAGCGCACATACTTGGGACTCGCGCAAAAAAAAGTAGTGTTCATTACTCCCTACCGCAGCCTTCCCCTCGCTCATCTCGCCTCGCAACGCCGACTCAGGGCATTTGGTAGCCTACTCTGGCTCCCCCAAAGCGTATTGGTTGGGATCTAATACGCAATACTGATTATGACCTCTAAGAAATCTTCAGAGGCGATGATGTGGTCGCAATCCATCTGATCACCTTGAAGTGCAACTCTGAAAAAGTGGTGCGTGCAATAATCTTAGGATCTACTGCAGGTAAAAAAAATGAGGGGTTATGAGACCTCAAGCAATCGACTAGACCAATTAGCCAAGTGTAAAATTTTTGTTGTTCTCTAGTATGATACCTCAGGCGAACGGAAGTCCTGCGAATAATTGAATAAATATTCATTCACCCGTTACGCAAAGAGTCATGGTAAACATGTAGGATTCGGGACAAAGACGAGATGGTTGTGTGCTGCACAGCGATGTACAGCATATAATAAACGGTGGCATGGGAAAAGAGGCATCGATCTTGACGTCACTCGCAGATGAAGTAAATGAAACTAAAAAATCATAGCGCTGCCACAGCGGCCACATTCTCCACAAGGCGCGTCCACACACAGATCAGGAGTTATCGGTGACAGTCATTCCATAACATGAACGTCCGCGAATCTAATTCTCAGAGGTAAATGCGCAACCGCAACGAAGGCAGCACCGCCTTATGTTTTTTTATATTCTTTGCGAAATAAACATACGCAGAAAATCAAAATTATCACGCAGTGACTTAACAATTGAGACGCTTATTCGCGTTCATCCGTACCTGTGAGTACGTTTCGTGCGTTATTTGTGCGTGAGAAACGCGGGGCATGTTTCAATCTGCTTGCGATCCTTTGTTCGACCTTCGATTTTCTTGCTATCGCGTTCATCGCTTCACCATTGAGGCAAAGGTGTGACTTGTTTTCACTTATAAAACGACCCACTTTACAGACCGACACCTGTGCTACATGCCCAACTCGCACGCCAATGCAACTTCATTGTTACGTTTGGTTTTTCATTTTCACATCGGGCTTTCGTGTCAATACATTGTACACAATGAAAAAAAGTTTCAGGGCCTGTTGAGGGGCTCATTGAAGCTCATGTTAAGCAACAGAGGAGAATCTAGGCAAGCAATGGTTCGTGCCCTGATCTGCCTCCTTCTATACCGCAGGAATATCGTCGCCACAGTGAATCTATGCTGCGCGCTGGACCTTCGCCAAATCGCGCTGAGAGCGCGCAACGCCGAGTACAACCCACGCAGATTTGCTGCCGTGATTATGCGCATCAGGGAGCCCCGCACCACGGCTCTGATGTTTCGATCAGGAAAGCTTGTATGCACCGGTGCGAGAAGGTAATCAGCACCTTTCTTTTTTCAGTTGTGCAGCATTGCTGCTTGTCTTCCGTTTGCTGTGTTGCTCGATCTTTGAATGTTTGCTCGCTAGCCTAACTTATTACTGTGTCAATAGGGCCAGGCAGGAGACTCTTTAAACATTATCAGATGTTAGTTGGAGTTACATTTTACGTCGCATAAATAACACAAATATTGTGGATAGTAGTGCGTTAACAAGTCATGCACAAGTAATCCAATGTCACATGATAACATACTTGCCGGTGAGCGATTGCAACGAGATGGCTCGGGCCGGCCTCTTTTGTTCGACATAGTTTTTGTTTCGCACGACTCGTCGCAGCGCCGGAACAGCAACCCAGACTGAGAAGGGGCTTTCTCAGAATTAGCCATGAGGGCAGACTTGTGGCAAAGTCATGCTTCGGTCATGTTATATGCACTGTGTCAGAGTGGTACGTGAGTATAATAGGGAAGTACCGTTAACGTCACCAAGGCGTCTCATTCTGATGTCGAATCACTGCGTAGCGCGGTAGTCAAGCGGACGAGACATCATGGTGGACCAAGAGCAGGACTGCAAAGTCAAGACAAAACTAAAGTTGTTGATAGCGGTGATCGTAACTACTGAACGCTGACAGTGAAGCTGACAGAGTTCACAATAAAGTTAATAATACCATACCCGCACGGGCGGGGTCGAATCGTGCTCAGTGAAAAAAAGGGACAATGAAAGCGAGTTAGTGAGGGTCATCATCACCGCAGAAATGACGATCATTACAGATGAATCTTCAAATAAGTGATGGGTTATAATGCATCATAAGGTAATCAGAGGAAGACAGAAGATGGTGCGTGTGGAATATAGTGATTTACACGAAACGCACAGTATACATTCGTAACTACATGCCTCACTAACCACAAAGAACTTAACCGACAAATAAGACACAGGAACTCTGGGAAGAAAATAGAGTTGCGAACGTCCGAGTGAAAAAAAAGCGACAGCTTCACTGTTCCGACAGTTTTCGGGGCGTAAAAGTGGCAATACCTATTACCATTTTACTAGTCATTGTTCAGCAGGCTGCCTGTGGCTAGGCGCCGCCACTTTCATGAAAGCCTTTCTGCTACTGACAAAAACGCTGCTGAATAGGAAGTTGACGCACCCACAATCCGTTGGCGCCCACTATCTACAGTAGTACGTCTTTCTTCGCGGAATCTGTGGAGTCTTGTTGTCGTCAGAAGTTCTCGCATTCCAAGGTAGGGAAGTCAGTGACTTTCGGAAATAGTGTATGTACTCCATTAAGTGAAAACATCCTGATTTATGTGAGCTGGCCGTGTAACGACGAAAAACTTAGAATGCTGCTCTTTTCAGTGCTAGCACGCGTACGCACGTGGACAGGTTGCACCATTGCGCGGCGCCCTTAATAACGCATGAGCCCGCCATGCAAAAACGGGCCATTGACGATACTTCGAACAATTTTTGATCCTGTGGCTTCGTTTGTTGAGAAAAGAAAATGATTTGTAACTTACCTTGAGAATTCAAGGTAAAATTTAGGCCACCTGCTGCGCTTCATTTGGCTTGAGTGTTCTTGGGAGCTTCGATTATCAATCGGTAACACTTTCTGACCATGATGAAAGTTTTTGAGGGCTCCTAAAGTTAGTACGGTGCCATATACAAAAACTAGGTGGTGTCATGGAGTGTTGCTCCAACAGAAACAATAAGCATGGTGCAAAACATGTATTATTGGCAAAGCCAAATGCGTAGCGCGAGTAATATACAACCTTGTTTCAATAAGTATCAGATCATTGCATAACGAAGCCGCAGTAGCGAAATGCGTAGCAACGCCAATGGACTTCTGTTAAGGGGATAAGTTGAGAAAAATATTGAGAAAAATTTAGCTGTATTTGAAATGTGCAGCCTTTTCTCAACCAGACTCTGTCATTCGTTTGTGTTAGCACGACTTTTTGTCTCTAAAAACTACTTATTTCAAAACTTGCGCGGCGGCCTGCCATGCGCCTTTTCATACGTAGCAATTGTATCCCTTTCAGTTCAAGCCTCATAGCCACATGGTGAAGTTAGTTTGCAAGCTGGGGTGCATTTGGCGAACTCAGAAGAATGGGCCCAGAACTACGAAAACAAAAGAAAGCAGAGGAATCCAGATTTCTGTCGGGGAATATGTCTGGTCGGGGACGTCTTAGTAGTATTATTGTTTGCAAGTACAAACGCTATTATCGTTTGCACAATACAAGCAATAGAGCCAGCTTCGAGAACATGCGAAAAGCTGCCCAGTCCACATATTTTACATGGCATCAAAGGATACCAATAGATCCCGCAGTCTTTGCTAGATGGGTGCCGAAACTTGTCATTTCAACAATTCATTTTAATGGTGAACCATTCCTTCATAAATACTAACTTCTAGCATGTGTTATTGAGGCTGTTAAGCCAAATTATCAAGAACTAGGTCATTGAGCACTATTCGCTAAATGCCTTTATGGGAAAACTCAAAACCTTAACGAGTTTGGCAGTTTGGGCTAGTTGCAATTATGACATGACGATATTTATAGCACAAGAACAGAACGACGACAAGGAGACGCTCGTGTCCTTCTTGTCTCTTTGTCGTCGTTCTGTTTTTGCGCTATACCTATCGTCTTAATTAGTCGTTGGATTGTACTTGTGTGTAGGCGCTCCGAAAAAAAAAACGTTTTGCATCGTACCAAATACGGTAAATATCCACTTTTTACGCTGTGTTCATTTTAAATGATGACAATATAGCACGTGTAAATGTGCCTAACTATTTATCGCCAGGGCGCTGCACAAATTTCGCTGCACAGTTCAGGGCGTATACGCACCCTTAAACTTCGTCGACAGTACTGTGCTGACAGGGCTGCGTAGGAGGCGACGAACAAGGCTCGCAGGCAAGACGCTTCAACACAAAACTAACAAATTATATTGGCGTTGAGTATCTGGCCGATGCCCATAGAATTGGTCTGTTATCTCATTGTGTTTTTAAAATGCAGATTTTCAACTTTAAATGCAATTATCTCGAAACACGCTTTTTTGTACGTCTTTTTTCTCAGCAACCACAGTATCTAGCCATAACATTTGGCCAGTATATTTACATTTCATAGGAATATGCTGATGCAGTAATATGGTAGTGTGAGGAAGTGCTATTCTGCAACATGACATATAATGGCTGTTATCGAGTGGTAGTTAGGTATTTGAAGCAAAAAGAAATTCAAAAAATGAACATTATATTTTTTCCTGCTAAATCTGCTTCACTAAAAGAAGGAATGACTCATGATCACAAGGATACTAAAAGAATTACCGTAGTTGTAATGGTTACGGAGAAAAGGTGCGTAAACTTTGCCTGACATACATGATGGGTAAAGGGCTTACCCTGTTCCCTTATGTGTTGTAATAGCTCATAGCAGCATTATCTTAGATAGGCGCCAACGGGTACTGGTAAAGGCTGTTCGTAGAGATTCTTCTGCCTGATGCCAAAGCAGCCCATTCCAGCGTGGACCCTGGCCTGCATCGCAGGTGGCGTCCAGAGGTGATGTCTTATATGCATCACATTTCCGACAACTTTTTCACAAAATATTTCCACAAAAAACCGACAACATTTCCCACAAAAAAAGATGGCAAGTAGGCACGGTGTGCCGATTTTGTCCTCCGCCCCACTTAAGCTGGCTGCGCTTTGTCCCGGAATCTTTTCTGGAGAGAAGAAATTCCGTGTTTGCGGAAAAAAGCACGTGTTTGTGAATGCCTGCGAAATGCCGCTGTCTTATGGGAAATTTTACGTAGGGCATACGGGGCGTTGCGTTAACGATCATGCTAGCGAACATTGAGCTTTCACTTAGAATTGACGGATTACGCATTTGCCCGCGCATTGCAAAGCTTGCATGTGCTCACCGATTTTCTCAGATTAGAACTTTGGGTCGGAGTGCTGATGCCACACCCTGCCAACTGATGGAAGCCTTTTATATTTCTGTAAGACGCAGTGCTTGTGTTAGTGATACTTCATTATCGTTATTTGATAGTGAGTGCGATTTTTTGCGTGGCCTGCAGTAAGCTGTTTGGTTTTGAACCTGTGATTACTCGACTATGTCCTTTCGTGACTATTTATTTAAAAGAAGACAAATAATTAAATTCAGTTGAAAGTATATGCTCTTTTTCTTTATGTGTTGTCTGTATTTGCGCACACCAGTTTACCCAGAAATATGAACCAACTCGCCCAGCTACAAGTTTTACTAGTAAAGAATTGCCCGAACGAACGCCCAAGCAAGGAGAACTGTACCATTTAGCAGCCTAGGCGAAATCGACAGCGCTGAAGACTGATTGGTTATGCAAGCAATGGCGGATCCAGCACAACGTGACCAGGTGTGAAATTTCGTCAGAATTTGACTCCCGCCGAAAGACGCTACTTAGAAAACCGCTTAACCAGTCGGAGTGTTTCTCTTAAATGTACTGTGTCCGTCAATCGCTGATAAAAAAAAGCGTGATGGTAGTGGAGACCGTGAAGCCTAATAGACGGAATTCATAATCTAGTTCAGAAAAAAAACCAAGGTATTATTGCAGCAAACTAAAAAAAAACACTGGACAGTCTTGTAATCAACCCAAAAAGTAAGTCTTGTATTCGAAGAGGGTGACAGCTTGCGGCAGTGGATTGGTTATCGCGGACTGATTCACGTTATAAGACAAGACGTTTATACTATGCCTCCAATCCTCATGTGATGTACTAGCCTGTGTGCGTTCCAAATATATACAACATAAATGTATTTTTATGTATCCGAGAGAACACTGCTTTCCTGACGCCCGGTGAGCGTAAGAAAAGCCCAGAAAAATTTCCGCATTTACCTGCTAGTGGGACTTGTAAGCAAGCAAATCTGGCTGCTTTTGTAAGTAGTTCATTGTTCCCTGGAACAGTTAGTTATCGCGGTTTAGAATAATGGAAGTGCCTATAACCAAAGCTCGCTGCCGGGTTAACTCGCTCCACTTTTACCTCCATAGCAAGTCAAGTGCTGTCTCCTCTCTCTTCCGTAAGGAGAAGGAAACAATCAGTCATTACTTTCTATACTATCGCCGGTACATTTCAATGAAGAGAAGATTCATAACACCACCTCTTCCAAACTTGCGTCAGAAAATATTCGAATCGGTTATTTTATCATTTGGCACATCTACACTGAATTACAGTCAGATGTTAACTAAGCCAGAGTAGAGGAATTTATCAGTCATACTAAAGGAATATTGAGTTAAATTCTTGATCTTTTTAAACATTTAAATACTAATATTCAGTAACTAAATTTGTTGTGCTACCTATCCCTAGCTTATACGAGAAGTATTGCGACAAAATACTTAACAAAAAAATTCACCTAACACTGGGTCCATTCCCTGCATTGGGTAAGAGCCATGAGAAGAGAAGTAGTAGTTCACTGTCGGAAGCTCAGCGTGCAAGATTTTGTGATAGCTCGCAGTGCATTCATAAAGCCCCGGTAGTGTAACCTTCGATGCACTAAATCCTATACGTATCTGCTGTGGTTTTGGTTCCGGACGTATAATATTGATTGCAACGTCTTTAAAGTCAAAAGCAGCCCCATGTACTAATAATTAACCCAAAAAACTATTTTGGAATCTTTTCCCGGTGAGTGCGTATATCCTAAACAAGGAATTCTTGCAGGCTCTTTACTTCGGAAGTTCACTAATATACGAAAGATACATAAGACTCAACTACTCCTGTGTTCTTGTTGTCTCACCTGATTCTCACGCAGAGGTAGGCGTAATAAAGCCACAGCTCTGACAGTGGTATCATGTTTTATTCTTGGGGCTCTGCATCACCTTCTTTTTAGCAAGAAATATCCTTCTTCCAGTTCTGCAAAGTGGAAGTTCTGCAAAGTGCAATATTTCTAAAACTATTTCCCACTACTGTTTCAGTGAACTTCAGGCCCGGACGGCAGCGAGGAAGTTTGCGCGCATCGCTCAGAAGTTAGGCTACGACGTAAGTTTATTTCTTACTCAGTTGTTTCTAAATTTTGTACGAGTTTTCAGAAGTGGCCAATGTATTGCCTGTATTACATTGTCAACGCTGGGTGCTTTGTTTTAATAATGAAGGCTACAGATGCCGTAACAAACCAGCAGCGTATGCCCAGCAAAAAAATTGGCTGAAGACCACACAGTGCTTGATTTGATTAGATTGAAGGGGGCGGTGGTTTAGAAAATTATCGACAGTCAACAGGCAATGTGGTAAACCCTCAAGGGTTTCTGTGCTCGAAAAACGAGAAAATTATATTACTACATTAAAAGGAAAACTGAAGAGGTCTGGGTGAATATAATACCCGTTAACTTTGTTCCAGATTTTAGGCAGAATATCTACGTTGAGAATAGTAACAACGCTGAACTTTGACCTAAGGGTACCACGAAAATCGGTAACGCCCCGTGATCAATGTGTTAAGCGGTAAATTTGCTTGGTACAACAATGCTGTTCATATTCGCATTGTTCATGAATCACAGGGTGCGTGCTGACCCATTCGGGACTGCTGCGTGATGAGGGTTAACCCATCTGCTTACATATGAACAGATCGGACGTGCAAACGCACGCCCCGTGTCACCCTAATTTGGTCACACCAAAATAGCTACACAGAAATGCATACATGCCAAAGGACTCGCTAAATACCTTGTGCAGCCTAATTTTGCTGCCGCTGTGTATAAGGTTGTTTTCTTTTACTGACCTTGCATCAACGAGGCGTTGCGAAATCCATCCTATGTTCCCATAGGAAGCTACGTGAAGTAGAATTGACCTACTAAATTAATGGCGTTGCGAGGTACAGTGGCGTTCAAAATTTTGCGGGCCACGGGAGCATGTGTAGAACTAGGGAGCCTTCATATGCGCGCGTCTCCGTGTTTTAGGGCAACGCCTCTTGTACTCAAAGTACAGGAGGCGTTGTTTAGGGTGGTGTCAGCCTTTGACCCAACACTTGCCGCTGCCCGTTAAAACACAATGTTGCCAGCCCCGTTTCACATGGCAACAAGCGCCATGTTGGTTCTTGCGGCTAGGCGTTCCTGCTCCGCCGCACTGCACCAGCTGAATGTTGGCGCGGGTGTGCAAGTTGCAGCATGAGCTGCGTTCGACTACACCGTAGACGTAGCTTCCGCTACGACACCATCCTCGCGCTAAGCGCATTTACAATAACTTTGAAGTGTAAATGCCAGAGTACTGCGTGCCACAATCTAAAGACAAGTGGAGACTGTCGCACCTCCCGACTTCCTCTAGGTGACGGAAAACGCTGGATAACACAAGTGAAACGAGATTGCTTGGAGCCGACTACTTCTACCCGTGTTTTTGAGGTGAGTACCCGTTGTATTGTGAGTGGATTGAGTATACCGCTGCATACTTAGTGAAATTATTTACTTTTTTATGTGATTAAAGGTAGTTTGAGCCAAGCAAACATGACAACTTGCACAGCGAAAAATGAATCAGGCTTCGTTCAGCTACGCCGGGTTATGCAAGCGAAAGTAGATAAATTTGAATGTTTGTTTATCCTCGTAGTCGAAGCGTGGTTCACCAATCGAATGATATGACTAGTCGAACGTGTTGTCCTGCATGCATTCGCTGTCAGCGTTTCATCGGTTTTCGAAGCCGTCACCGCATTCGTCGACGGGAAACGCCGGGCCCGTAAACCACCAACAGACGCTCGCGTTCGTATCTTCCTTTGCTGGCAGATTTTTCGCGTTCCTGCACTTTCACTTTGGTCACTGAGGAAGGGCATTCGGAGAGGTAGACAGAAGAGCCGGCGAACGCGTTCCCTGTAGACTGTTGCAGTCTTGCACAGTTGCAACAGAACTAAATTTTGTGCGACTTGGCATGGGGTATTCGTTCTTCCCTTCAATGACATGCAGAATCACACTGAAAATCGCTCAACAACACCAAAAAGGATTTCGCTTTAATAATATAGAATGCTACAGAATTACTGTTCATGTCAGTCCGCCCTTCTGTTTGTCTGTGGGTCCTGAACGGTGGAGTATATGTGCGCTAAGAAAGTCAGCTGTTGGCCGGTAACTCAAATTTTCCGTATGGGAGATTGGTACTGAATCGTTATTTTTGTCGTCCTTTTGTTTCACAACCAGCCACAAAGATGATTTGATATCGTGAACTTGGTTTTTATTTAGTGCTTTTAGAGAAAATGTGTGTAGACTCCGTATATGCTCGGCGCAGTGTATGACTTCTCGCCTTATTGCCTTATTGTAGGCCCACTGCGTGAACACAAGGTTCCAGCAAAGAAGGCAGGACAATTTGAAGAAACTAAGGCCAGATGCTGTTTGGATGCTGTTTGCAATAAAGTCTGACCTGAAAAAACTTCGTTTGTCCCATCTTGCTCTCTTTTGCTTTTCTTCTAGCCTAATATACAGGCTTGGGGGGGAGGTAGGGGGAGGCTTGTTGTATATGATTAAGGGCCCTACTATTTTCGGGAAATGCTTATAGCTTGCAAGATTTTAAGCAGTCCATTGTACAGATTCGTTTTCAGGAACTGGACTTGCTGCAGGAAATCACATTACGAACAAAAGCAATATTTCCGGCATGAGAAACAGGCTAGCGGAGTTATGCGGTTTACAGAGAACATCGCGAGCTACCTAGTTGTTTGATCTACCTTCCCTGTCATTATGGGTACCATCAAGTAAACATCACGGTTTCAAGCCTTGGACTAGAATGCCTTTCAGGTGTCTGCAGTGCTAAGGAGAATTTGCTCCAGGAATGCCGCGTGGACATTTAAATCTGTTCACAGTGACATCGAGGTTCTCCCCCACGCAAATATAGGCTCCCTGAATATCCTCACTCCGCCAATGCGGTAGGTCTACCAGGTGAGAGAAACGAACTGTTTTAACAGTATTTTATGCAAACTCGAGTCACGAACGTCTTTCCTCTTTTACGAAACCATCGCTAACTGCAGAATACATACCTTGAGCCTTCAGAACTCGCTATATATAAACTATCCCCTTCTTGTTGAAACCCACGCTGCCTTCAATATAAATGAGCGACCGCTCAGAACCAACATCGTGGCCCGCCAAGTATGGCGGCCGTTTTAGCCAGTTGTAAGCCACCATGATCGAAGTTGTCACCACCCTAAAACACGGCGACACGCGCACATGAAGGCTCCCTATGTTGAACAGCACCGTGGGGCCGTCTGGCGGCTGCCTGCGAAGCTCGAGAGCACGCACTGCGCACGCGCGCCCTTTTTTGCCTGACAACTTGCCCGTCCGCCCCCTTCAACAGAGCGTGCCTCAGAACGCCAGCAGAAGCACGAGCAGTCGCCCCTGCTGCCGCCACCAAAACACCGAGCGATAATATCGGGAGGACAACACGTATTCTGTATTGGAAGTGCTCGATGGGTGCGCGCTTTATTCCGCCTTGGTCTAAGCCAAGCTGCAGACGTGTGCGGTGTCGGTTTTTTGGAAATAGACGATTGTGATAAGGTTACTAAACAGCTTTCACTTGTGGAAGAAGTGAACGAGGGAATATCTCTCTGTGTTCTGTAGAAGTGTGTTGCGCCCGTTCACGGTTTGGGAGAAGATGAAATTTACGGGTATGCAGCACAAAGCTCTGTGGAACTTCTTTAAAATATACAAAAAAAGTTTGGAGTGATTGCTTAAAACTCCGTCCTCCACGAGGACAAAATATTTGTAAAAAAACCTGTTTTTCCGGCTGTTACTCAATTTCTGCCAACTCGTGTTTAATTCTATGTAGGTTTCTCCGACTAACCGGTGGGCAACCATGGTTCACTTCATAACACTTTTCTCTAACTTGTGGTATTTGACCAAACTAGGTGGCATAGTTCATACGCGTTGATTATATACTTTCAATTATTCTTTAGCGTGCCGAAACAGGAATATGGTAAAAAATGCCGTATTGCAGGCTCCTGGAACTTTTTACATCTAATTTTTTACCGGTCAGCTAAATAAAGTACACCGGTTCCTAGCATTTAACTTTAACCTTGATGCGCCGCGGCTGGCAAGCGATCCCGCGATTTTTCGGTCACCAGTCGATGACCATACCGGCTAGAACACTGTGGCAGCTATATGCGTCAAACACCCGAATATTGATGCCTTGAAGTGAAGATCGCAGGAATAGAAGCAGTGATGAAAGCATTTTTTTCTTGATAATTGACATGAAAACTCAAGACTGATGTGTAAGGTGGGTCACCGGGGTCAATATTTGGGCAGGTGACTGTCGGCGGCAATCTCTTGCGCCACATGACGTGGCATGCTTGTCACGAGAGAAACGTGTCCGGGCTCGGTAAACATTTCATTCTCAAAACTATTCAAGTGTCGTATTTGAGGACAGTAAGCCCAAACAAGTAACTCTTGCGGCGCCTTGCTACCTATCAACAATGTACAACAAAAGGTTATCAAACTTCCAATCGACTCACCATTATTTTTGCCCACTGCCACCTATCTCACCGACGTGCGCTCTATACCATCTACACGCCGCTCACAGTTTCCACGACGTTGCTCACTGTCGCGCCGTTCCATACCATCTACACGCCACTCACAGTTTCCACGACGTTGCTCACTGTCGCCGATGTAGCCACGTCCGCTCGCCGGTCACCAGGAAAAGTAGTCGCAATCCGCTAGCCAAGAGTGCGACGCTGTCAAACTGCGAAAGCCCTCAGAGAAGTCCATTGAACGTGATAGACGTGTTTGTGGACAGTGTTCGTGCATTTACCCTTGTAGATACTGGAACCACCGTATTCGTCATAGACTTAAACGATAACTGCGCAAAGTGACGATGCCACTTTCCAGGCTCTCCCTCCACACAACCAAGGCCCTACGGTTTTATGCACAGCCCGCCTCATGATTCAGGACGTGATGTACGCCATCAAATAGATCGTAATTCCTGCGTGTTCCCATTATGTTATCATAGGATGGGATTTTCTCTCGTGCCATGACGCCGTCATTCATTGTGCACCAGTTTGAATAGAGCTCTCACCATTCTCTGATTTGACGCTGGCCGACAGTTCATCGGCTGCAAACAAGGTACTCGTCAAAGACGCCACCAAAGTTCCTGTAAACTCGCCAACGGTGGTGTTCGTCTACCGCACCAGTCTTTCCGACATTTTGGAACATTAAAGTGCACATATCATTCAAGTTTTTCGGACGCCACTGCATACATCTCGCGATCTGACTGTTTTCATGAAGGACAGCTTGCTGGTTCCTTTCGAGACTGTGCAATACACTCACGTCAGCACCTCTATTTTTCTAATGAAGTCATCCCGTACAGTGATACGTTGGTGCGAGGGGAATGTATCGGCAACGTGAAACTCATTGAAGACGCACAAGTTATGAATGAACCCTATGACACGCACTGCCCAATTTACATTACGCTCTATGCTGTTTGTAGATCTGCTTCATCATCGGCTGTTGTATTTCGATCCTCCATACTCGACAACCCTACACCGATCCAGCTTTCCCAGTTTTTGGGCCTGTTAGAAGAATGGGGCACTTCTTTCGATGTCGCTCAACTTTACCTTGGCCGCACATCCACCATTTCACATCACATCGACACACACGCCCAACCAACACTGCGGCAACATCCACATCGCGTAACTCCAACAGAACGCCGTGTAATCAACGAACAAGTCGACGACATGCTGGGACGCAATATTATTCGACAGTGTAACAACCCCTGGGCTTTTCCAGCTCTTCTCGTTCGGAAGACGGGTGGTTCTGCGTGGACTACCGCCGCCTCAAGAAGACAACTCGTGAGTACGTGTATCCACTTCCACGAATAGACGACCCGATTGACAGCCTACAAGGAGCAGAATTATTTTCATATCTCAATCTGCGCTAAGTGTTCTGGCCATACCTATGGTTGAAGACGCTTGACCGCAGACCACCTTTGTCATGCTCAGCGGCTTGTACGAATTCAACGTCATGCCGTTTGGGCTGTGCAATGAGCTCGCCACCTTTGAACGCATGATGGATACCGTACTGCACAACCTAAAAGGGTGCACGTGCCTGTGCTACTTCGACGACGTCGTGATATTTGCTCTGGACTTCTCCACACATCTTCGATGCCTGCCGGAAATTTAACGCGTCGAAGTGACGCCTGAACCTGAAGAGGTTTCGCAGCATGGCCGCTGACACAGGGCTACGCCTTGTCCAATAGGAAAATTTTCCTCGATATAGCCAAAGTATGGGCCGTGATTGAGTTCCCCTAGCCGACATCAAAGAACTGCGCAGTTTCGTAGGACTAGTGCTCCTTGGTTCGGCGCTTTGAGACTTCACGACTCGTATTACCACTGACGAAGCCTCTCCATTCGTGGTATTCACAGTGCGATGGCACTTTCGCAAGCTTTGTTTGTTCACGTCACCTATCATACTACGCCACTACAACACTACGGCCCTAAGAGCTACATACCAACGCCAGTTGTGTTGGTCTCGGCACTGTCCTTGCGCAGCGCAAACTAGAGTTCCTGGAACATGTCGTGGCGTATGCAAGCTGTATGCTTACAAAAGCTGAAACCAATTGCACCGTCATGAAGACAGAATATCTGGCAATCATCCGGACCCTTACGAAGTTTCGACGTTATTTGTATGGGCGCCCGTTTGATGACGTTACTGACCCTCCCGCACTGTGCTGGTTGTCTTCACTGAAGGATCCCCCAGGCCGTCACGCCCGTTGGGCACTTCACCAGCGAGAATGAGCCATCCACGTGCTGTACCGCAACAGACTCCAGCATGCTGACGCCGACGCCCTGTCGTGCTCTCTCTTGCGTGATGACAGTGCCCACAACTTAGCGTCTCACCTTACCGTTTCTTCCACAGACATTCATACTATCGCTACCGCGTAGTGCAAAGATCTACCATCACTGATAGACTTGCTGACTGATCTATTGACAACACCATTCACGTGTGCGTTGCGTCGTAAGCCAACGATTTTGCCGTTCGCGGCGAGCTCTTCTACCGACGCAATTACAACGCTGATGGCCGCCAGTGGCTTCTAGCGATACCCCGCCGTCAGCGTTTTGACATATGCGATTTCTTCACTTCTGGTCCGCAATTTGCACACTCCGGGTTATTGAAGACTTATCACCACATTCACCAAGAGTAGTTTTAGCGAGGGGTGTACCGCTACGTGCAGAAATTCGTTCGCTCTTGCATGAATTGTCAGGAGCGCAAAACTTCAACACATTTGTCGCCGGCAGGTCTACAACGTCTACTTAGCCCTGACTGGCCGTTTGGGCACGTTGGAATCGATTTGTATAGGCCACTGCCGCTAACGTCGGCTGGTAATGCTCGGCCATTGCGGCTGTAGACCAGTTCACATGCTACACCGAACCCGCCGCGCTACTTGTGGCTACTGCGCGCGATGTGGCCTCAATCCTGTTACAAGGATTCACGCTGCGTCGTGGTCCACCCCAGGATCTGCTCAGGAATTGAGACAGTGTCTTGCTGTGTGAAGTCGTCGAAACTATGCTTTGAGTGCAACGTTGTCCACCGCGAAACTGCTGCTCACCACCCGCAGACGTATGACCTCCCCGAACACTTCAACTTTACGCTCGGCGACATCTCTCCCCGTATTTCGCCATGATCAGTCAAATTAGAATATCGTCCTGCCGTTCGTCACGTACGCCTATAATAGCGCCCCTAGAGCAATACTGGTTTTTCATCTTTCTTTTTATTTTAAGGAAGGTAACCGTACGTCGCACATCATCGACACGATACTCACACACAAGCCCGATCAATCCAAGTGTAGGACTAATTGACACAGCCGGGCTTGCTGAAGAGTGTCAAGAGCTTTTAAAAACCTTCACTATACGTGGCAAAGAGCCGCAGATGAGCATTCCCGCTGACACCAGCACTTCTGCTCTCACGTTTATCCGTGGAGCACTCGTCTGGCTCTCGATTCCTCCCACATGCAACTGGCCTCTCTTCAAAATTTCTACCCAAATATGGAGGCCCCTACCATGTCGTCGAACGCACTTCCCCTGAAAGCTACCTGATGGAACCCAGCGAACCATCTTCGGACATGTGCCGTTGAGGGCGCGACATTGTCAACGTGGAATTTGAAAGGTCTACCGGGACCCGCTCATAGTAACCAGCTGTTAGGTCGGCTGACAGCTCGTTTTTATTACCCAGGGTAATTGTTGCGAGGCCTTGGAACTATACAGTAGGTCACCGGCCTTGACATTCACTGTCGCGCATCGTCGACGAGTGCCCGCCAGTGAACGTCATAACACCCTATTATGAATCAGTAATTTATTAGTATAATTTTAAGATTGCGAAAATTCACTTTTCTCGCGTTTTGGTCATAGTGAAAGTCGCGCTGCTTCTTTTCAGCTTCTGCTGTGGTGACTATTCTCTTGTTAAGTCGGTAGTATCTGACGACTGTAGTGCAGGTCAACGTACAGCAGTCGCGCTTGCTACGTCAGCCCATTCAAACGCTCCGAAATCATCTTAGCTGTCCTTCTTAATGACCAAAAGCTTTTCCTTAGAAACGAGACGAGAGATTACTCGCAGTGGTAACGTGATCTAGAAACAACTGTGATGGCACACATTGACATAATTTTGTCCGGTGGTGATCTACTGTACTTTATTAGATCTGGCGATACACTTCAAGTGAAGCTACCAGATACGTTTACTCTCTGACCGGTAGCGTATTTTTCTTCATCGCACAATTTCGATTGAAAGTGAACGTGCCTTTATTCATAAACTGTACATCTCGCCCACCATGTTTTTCCTTTTATACAGGCCAAGTTCAACGACTTCAAAGTCCAGAACATCGTAGCTAGTTGCGACGTTGGCTTTACCATAAAGCTGGAAAGCTTGGCCCTCAACCACGCACAATTTTCTTGGTGCGTATACCCCGTTATTGTTGGGTTACCCTCTAAGTCATTCTTGAAACGTTTCTTGGACGTTGAAGCGCGTTTTTTCATTTTTCTTTCTACTCTACAAATCTCTTCAATCTTCAAAATCTTATGCGCGATTCCTCTAATAAGCGGGCGTTTTTTCTGCCGAAGTTTATTGTGAACACAGCTTCCGACTGATGCTTGATTCAGAGGAAGAGTTGAGAGGATATTTTCACGAACAGCGTGCAAGTGGTTGGTAGTGACATTTACTGTGAATGGTCAAGCGCAGAACATGTCATTGTAGTCCGCTTCTGTGCTACTAAAGAAATAACTCCAGAATCAGTGACCCGAATTCGCATCAGTCATGACTCCGGCTTCCACTTCACAATCAGAAAATTGCATAAGTCGTTGAAAGAGGCTACGGGTGGGTATTAGTATACCACTTGGAGACTTGGCATCATCATTCGTAGCCAAGGGGAACACTGAGGTAATAGCGAATTAAGAATTCTTATTTCCGAATTTTTACATCACTTCTAGCTGAGATATTTTGTTACACACAATTGCTTTGATGAACGCGCTACCGTGTCTGTCCTACCAGATGGCAGCAGTGCGTTTCGGCAGCAATCTTAAGAATTTTTTTATTTTTCTGGGAATGCTGGCTGCCAGAAGAAAATTATTGCATGTAATTTGAATTGTTCGTTCATTTGGTTTCTGAGAAATTGTAGCGTTAATTAGTGTACAATGATTGTATATATATTTTGTATTTGCAGTTACTACCTGAAAAGTTAATTTGTTTGAACGCGCACGAGTACTTTAAACTTGTTCTCAAGAATGTTGACGTTGTATTAGATTTAAAACATTTTAGATAGTCAGTTATGCGGACTGTAGCGAGGGGGTACGTAGAATTATTATGCAAAGGTTTCTTAAGCGTAACGTCTAGAAGAGATGCCGTAAACACACACGTTGTTTTATGTATTCATGGTGTCAAGAACGAGCGATCATAGACAACAAATTGATGGAATAATCACCAAATATAAAATTCGCATGGCTTTCTTTTCATAGTGGTCACTGTTTTGTCAAACTTAGGTGAAGTCAGCTCGCTAAAAAATTAAACACTGCTCATAACTTGTTGCATATTCCTTCATTTCGGAGGTGGAACTTCCCATGCTCCCAAAGAAAAGTGGCTCTGACATAAAGAAATACTAGTTCTAAGTAAAAATACTACATGAATAAATAACCGGGGCTATTACGAAACGTTATGTACCCAAACATTTCAATACAGTATCCAAGGCAAGAAAGAAGCAATTGGTGCAGCAGCTAAAGATAGTTCTTTAAAACTTAAGGAAATGTACACTGCCTACGGTTTGAGCATGGGTGAAAAAAATTGCGAATTTGGTCTGAAATGATTCATCTGCAATTTGAGGTCAACCATAATTTGCAGAAACAACGCTACATACTTTTGTCAAGTGGCCCTTTTTCTTAAGATCACACAAATGGAGTATTGTGAATACGTTCTCGCACTGAAGAATCCTTCAAGAATATGTTTTTACTGCTTGTTATGCTGCCTACCATTTTATATGGGTACAGTTAAGCATCACGCATAGTTTTTCAACGTCGTATTCAACCTTCGCAGTGACCATAGTGTTGAAACATGAAAATACTGATTAAGTGCGTTTGCTTCCTTCATATATTACACGGTTGAAAGAAACAACTGCAAACTATTACCACTATCAGTGGGAAGCTCGGCAAGGGCGTTTTCCTTGACGTAGGCCTCCACCCTACTCAGCGCCAACCTTAAGGTACTGTGCTTAGAATGCAAATTCACGTTCGCACCTGCTAAACCCATCGGCCTTCTTTTCCGACGCCGACAACTTGCCTGAAATTTGATGCGCAGATGAGAGTGAAGCTTAGGAAGATTACGCAAAACTATGAACTTCAGTCTACATGAGTCTGTGACGTCCAGTGGTACTGGCTTTACCTTGTGGACGCTGCTCTTACCATTCTCGTGTTGCTTTGCCTTTGTGTGATGCAAGACCTCAGACGAGAAAATCACAGGCATTCCATGGTTCTTCAAGGAATGCGTTGGAGTTCTTTAAATTCTCGTTTTGACCTCCATCACTGCTCTCAAAAACCTCATCCGACAGCCATTGCGTGAGCTTCTCTCACCTAATGTACTCTGTCTTCATGATCTTGTGCACTCTTGTGCTATGGCAGACTGATCGGCAAGCCCACCAAGCAAGAGCCTAGATAATAGGCGCGTGATCTGTTTTGCTGAAGAAGTTGTGGCTAGTCCAGCGACGCTTCAAACAGCGCGTGCACCTGGGTGGTTCTGTTGTAAACGCTCCAGAATGCTTTCTCAGAATCCTCCCACAGTGCTAGCATTGAATTTAAGGGAAGGTATCTGCCTGGACTGTATGAGACCGTGGACGACGTATTTTAAACAGCCGTAGTATTCAGTCGCGTATGGTGCGTGACGGAAGCACGTATGGGCAAATCTCCCATGACTCGCGAAAGGAAAACAGTGATGGGCGTTCTATGGTATTCCTTTTGCATGCGTTCGGGCAGGCACCATAGATCGTGTAGCACGGCGTACACATACTCTTCCGTCGCCGCCTGCTTTTGGGCTGGGTTCTTTGATACAACTGTGCGGCAGAGATGTATCCAGGTGAGCGAGAGGGCTAATTGCAATACAATGCAACTGCTTTAGTGGAGGTGCTTAGGTCACCTGGGTATTCGTGCGTGCTTAAGATCAATCTCGCCATACATGCATTAGTCACTTGACTCCGAGCCATAGATATGTCCCAAATTTTCTTTTCGGCTTTCTTTGCACTCATTTACATCCACGTCTATTGATTCATTTTCGTTCGACAGACCGTCAGGCCAAAAGGTCTTAAGATGATTCAAACATGCATGATCACGTGCATTTCTTGATAAACATAAGTGTGTTGCACGGTACATAATTCTTGTCGGAAATTGAGCGGTACATAGCTGTGTCATAAGATAGCACTACTGATATCGTTCAGCGAAAAGTACACCGCATAAAAACGGGCGCACGCGTATTCCTGGAGTTGTGAAAGCTTCTCTAGGTCTATCAACAGACCAGTCGGTCGCAGCTCGGTCCACACGAGCTCTGGGCTTTTAAGAAACACATAGCTGTCCAGTCTATTGTGCCCTGCCGCGGTGGTCTAGTGGCTAAGGTGCTCGGCTGCTGACCCAAAGGTCGCGGGATCGAATTCCTGCTGTGGCGGCTGCATTTGTGATGGAGGCGGAAATGTTGTAGGCCCGTGTGCTTGGATTCGGGTGCATATTAGGAGAACCTCAGGTGGTCAAAACTTCCTCCGGAGTCCTTCACTACAGCATCTCTCATAATCATATGGTGGTTTTGGGACGTTAAACGCCACAAATCAATCAATCAATCAAATCCTGTTTATTGTCTATCACGGCATGCCTCATAACCAGATTGGGCTTGTAGAACCCTACTTTCTCCATTTCAAGAGTGAAGCGCCCGAAGCCGTCGAATAAACGTGTACGTTTCGCCAAAAGCCATCCTCGCCGTAGGCATAGCAGCCTATGACGCCAAAGCTGCCAGAACGCCTCACACAATCTCTTGATTTCATGCCTAGCCGTTCATGCGAAGTTGAGGAAACAACGCAGCTGCTATCGCTAAGCCACGCTGAGCGACGGAGATGACTAGCGCAACTGAGTTTCGTCGCTCGATCAGATACAGGCAAGGGACGCGCAAAAAAAGTAGATAAAGCACATCCGAACAAGCAGCAGCGCATCGTGAAGCGAGGTTCATCGCTGTGTGAGATTGGATACGGCAAAGACACGCAGATGCAAAATACGCGGTCAAAGAAATGGAGAACAAAAACGATGAGAAGGTACCGCCCGACACTATGAATGAAATGCTGCGCGTAAGCGCTCTCTGCATCAAGATTCGGCTTACCGGAAACCAAAGTAAGAATGACGCTGCACTCGGTCAGCTTCGCTGTTGTCAAGCTTTCGCCTTTTAGCTGTTTTGAGATTACAACTGTGGTCTCATGCAGCGTCGTAGTTATCCGCCACTGCCGGTGTCCGTAAACACATCGCGCGAAATTTGCAAAACAACCTAGTACCAATGACACAGTGGGGCTGAAACCCCGTTCCGGTGGGTGGCAGCCTAGTAATCTACCACTGAGATGCGCCGGTGTTTGAAACTTATTGGCAAACTTGCCCTAGGCAGGCTTGATGTCGGGAAAGGAATGGCGTTATTATGAGTAACATAGCGTTTTAGAACAGCAAACGGACAACCAGGCGTCACACAATGCGAATAGTGTAACGAGTGGGTCGTCCAATGCTCCAACCCACCACAAAAGCTTGTTCTTGATCACCTATTATCAGTGGCGCATACCCACTTGAGGCATGATTCATCATTGTCGTCAGCCACTGCGTGAACAATTGGCACAACATTCCTCGCAATAGTTCAGCGGATACCATACTTCTCAAACGAATGACGAAGGATAGTGAATACTACCCTAGTACCCAATAGGTTTTTATATTACTGCCGCAGTGGGTACCCAGCCAGTGCGCTAGCAGGAGTCACCCAATGAGTGTTCAGAAAAAGCTCTGAAAGGCCGCTCTTTTAGCTTTCGCTGTGCCTGTGTTGTGTCTTGCGTGGGCCTGGAGTTTCTTTTTGCGCGTTTAAACTTGCGAGAGATTGCAAGTTCACTTACAATGCTGGATTTTCATTTGAAGCTGCATCAATGCAAGAACTTACCTATTCACTCCTTTCCAGATCGTTCGGAGTGTGGTATCACAAGAAATTGGATGTTCGATGCGCTCATCCCATAAAATAACTTCCTTTATTTTAGCGAGTGTCGTCCATTTCAAGGCATCTTGAAGCTAATGCTAAGTCAATCTCTCTTGCGCTGTCCCCATTCAAAAAGAAACGAACTGAGCAAGTGCAACAAAGGGGACAAACTCTAAACTTTGTAGACAGTAGACCAGACTGTCGCAGTTCGGCGCTT